TGTTTTTGGATTAGATCATTGCTCATTTACAAATGGGGTTCAATTGGGTTGTTAATAGAACTTACAATAGGAACATGAAAGAAAATCCAGCTCCCTCGACTATCAGGGAAGAAAAAAATAAAAATCTAGAATCAATTCATCACAAAATCTGCATCACTGCAAATATGTTTCAGAGATTCTGTCCTCCCCTGTGAACGATGGGCAAAATGTGGCTTCACTGGGACAACAACCCTTCTCCAAAACCAAACGTTTTGAGAAGCAAACCAGCAATGCCCGCAATGAGGTTGATATATACGGATATCTAATCATCAAGCCTTCTCCCCAAAAGGGAGGCATAAGCAAGAGATGCAAAGATGAGCAAAACTCTTACCAGCACTGACTAGGTTCAATTCCTCCAGTAATTTTCTACATCACAAGCAAGTAACACAAGGATAGTCAGCTATGCTGTGCACTCGGACTTCGAGTCAGTCTGGCGGTGTAGTCTATCCAGATCCATATTGTGTCAGAGAAGCTCTGGAAGAATGTAAAGACGTGCTGATACCAGCATTACAGGGCAAAAAAAATCAAAAAGAAACAATGCTTGGATGATGCCAAGTGATTTGGGCACAGTTGGTCAATCAATCATTTGCACTGACTTCATTTTCTCTCATCTCCAAACAGCTGTATTCCAATTATAAACAATAAAATGCCCAATCCAAAGATCAGCTTACGAGGCTTAAACGTGGTCAGATCATTATTTGTCGTCAAGTTACTTAGGAAATGAAACAAATCCCATTCTGCACCCTTCTAGCAATTACCATATTCTGCTGTGAAACCTTTTAGAGATTTACAACTTCAGTGTAATTTTATTAATACTTAACCATATTAGCATTTTTTAATCATCAACTGCTGCATCTAAAAATACCATACAGTAGGTAAAGATACAAAATGTAACATTTGTATTCAAATGACAAAGAACCACTCAAGTTTCATTCCAGGTTTAAATAAATCATATGAACTCAACTAACAGTCTTCTTGCTTGTTCACAATCGTTTCTGACAATGACAGCACACAATTGCTAATATTTTCAATGCACATCTCAAATTGTAATAAAGCAGAATATTCAAGAAAAGCTACACTAATAATAAAGTTACAAAAGATCAAACATCTGATGAGTATGCCATGGAGTCACAGTTTTTAAAAGCACAGAAAGACTATGCCGATCAAACATCCACCTATTTAAATGCCATTTTCAAGCACTTGGTCCACATGCTACAGCATTTCAAGTGGTCATCTAAATTGTTCTTAAATGTCTTAAGGTTTTTGCTTCTAATCACCCTTTCAGGTAGTCATTTCCAGATATCCACAACACTGGGTGAAAAATGTTTCCTCAAATCCTGCCAACCTCCTACTCTTTATTTTAAAAGCCATGTCCCTTGTTTATTAACCACTTTAAAGGGAAAAGGCTTCTCCCTATCTACACTCTTCATACAATCATACAATACAGAAGAGACCCTTCAGCCCATCCAAACTGTACCAAAAGTATATCACTACTTGAAACTAGTCCCACTTTCCCAGACTAGGCCCAAGCCTTGAAAGTCGTAACACTCCAAGTGCTCATTCAAGTATTATTTTAAAAGGACACAAGGGTTCCCACCTCAACTACTGTCCCAGGCACTGTGTTCCAAATCCCAACCACACTCTTGGTGAAAAAGTCTTTCCTTAGATCCTCTCTAAGCCTCCAATCTTTCATAACCCTCCAAACTTTATACACCTCAATCTGATCATCCCTTAGCCTTCTCAGCTGTAAGAAAAATAACTCCGTCCTATCTAGTATCTCTTTGTTGCTAAATCACTCCAGCCCAGGCAACATCCTGGTGAATCTCATCTGGATCCTCTCTAGTACATTCAAATCCTTCCTACAGTATAGTAACTTGAATTGCACAAAGTGACAAATCACAGCATTTAAAAACAATATTTCCACCGTAATATTGTAACATACAAAAGGGAAGTCACTAAAATGCTCACAAATACTAGTCAATATCAGGAGTGAGTCCTTCTAATTGAAAAACATCAAAATTATAAAAGTAACACTTTGCCGCAACATGTTCGAAAGTAACAATTTCAATTCAATTCTCACAAAGGTGCTCACATCACTTCATTTGGTATATCTAACTATTCCTTTGTGTAAATGTGCTATTAACACCACAAAGGTGGCAACATGGACAAAAATGCTAGTGCTATTACAGTTCTAGAAGCACAATTTTTTTTTCAAAAATACTGCTGCTGAATTAAAAACATTTTTTTTAAGTTTTGTTGAATAAAGAATAAATTAACATTCCAATTTGAATTATAAAATCAAGCAACTGCTAGAAAGTTATTTCTTCCCAGTTTCACCTACATATCTCGTCCTCCACCCCAACACTTCCCCGTCCCTTATCCCATCCAAATGTAAAGAATCATTCTATGGTACATTTCCACATACACCTACAGCTCTCCAAGCAGCAATTGTTGACCTACAGTGCCCAGCATATGGTCCTAGGCCACCTACAACATTCATTCTTAGCAGCTGTGGTACTCAACAAGCAAGAAAATTCACGCAGCTATCGGCTGCTACATGGTGTCCTGTGCAACATGACTAGAGCTGAATAAACAATATTTTCTGTTGTCAGAATGCAGAAACAAAGGAAAGCTGTCGAACAGGCTATTAGATCAGCATCCATAACACAAATGAAAAGAACAGTTAACTACACATCCAGCAGCTAACCATGTAAACAATGGGTACAGACTGGGACTTCATTACAAAACTCGGGAAAGCTACATTTTTTTTTAAAACAAACAACAGAATATTTGACAGTCAGGAAAGAATCAGAAAATATTGGTCACAGAGTCAATATAGACTATGTGCTTATGGATTTACACATAAATACCAAGCTATAGCAGTTTGTTAGACCAAGAGCACAAATTCAAAGTGCTTTCCCTCCTTAAGTAATTGGAGGTCATTAGCTCATTTGATGCCAAGACAGTGAACGTGGGAATGCAAGAACAGAAAGGCCAAAAAATATTTGTACATTGAAGGTGATTAAGACAGGTAACAAAATAGTCCATAATGCATTTGGACACTGGGCTTTAAACAGAGGAGCTTTATGAATAGACAGAGATGGCACAAAAGCCAGGAAGTTATGTTAAGCCTATTAAAAAAAACAATAGTTCAGCCTCAGCTGGAGTAGTCTCCATTTACGGGCTCAATTTGTCAGGAAGATGATAAAGGTTTTGGAGGGTATTCAGAAAAACTTTACTAGAATTGTTTTGAGGATGAGGGGTTAATTATATGGTAGACCAAAAAAATGTATTCTGTTAGAGCAAAGAAAACAGGTTTGATAGAGGTACGCAAAGTTATGAAGAATGTAGCAAGATAAAGAAAACTGTTTTAAATGACTGGAACATCAATAAACCAAAGGGCACAGGTATACGGTGTTACAGAGATAGTAGGAACTGCCGATGCTGGAGAATCTTCAGGGTCTCGACCTGAAACGTCAGCTTTCCTGCTCCTTTGGTGCTGCTTGGCCTGCTGTGTTCATCCAGCTCTACACCTTGTTATCTCAGGTATATGTTGTGTGGCACAAGAAACAGAAGCAATCAGAAAAAAGGATTGATACTCAGGTAGAAACAGATTCAATCACAGCTTTCAAAAGTCAACTGAATAAACACTTGAAGGGATAAACATTGCAGGGGTAAACAATGATTGCACTTGACTAGGGGAAAGAAAAAGCTATCCCTCATCACTGTCCAGCTCTGCTGAAACATTTGAGAGGATAGAACGATATTCAACAGTAACTCAAATTGATTTAATAACTTGAACAGGCTTGCACATATAAAATTGGACTTGAACAATCATGACCAACTTAAATATATCAAAGACAGCAAAAATTAATTTTACTAGGGTTAATTCTAAAGTCTCAGCATTTCAAAGAATGGTGGATGTTCCAAGTTGATTAAACGTCAATAAGGTATTTCAGGGTTCACATAACAATAGAATTTAGAAGAGTGAAACCTGAGCAATGTGATAGATGACGATCCTGAAGATGAGGCTTTTTAAACTGCATATGCTGGTGTTTACACACACAGCGCTAGTCGATCATCAACATTTCACTTGAACAACTAAATGTGCTATTGATTTAGGAGCAACACAGAAGAGATTTCAGTGGCACATCAGCAGCTGGAAAGTTGTACGATCCAAGAAGCCAGGTTAGCACACTGGCTCGCACAGCACTGGAGAGCAAGAGCCGTAAAGACAACCTTCAGGAAGTTTCCAATGCACCCATTACAGGGGCGGCTGCGTACCTGGCGCAAACGCTACTGTTTCAAAAACAAAATGTTACCGAGCGCTCAAAAAAAAGATGATGCAACCACTACCGATGCGAATCGAGCGACAAAGGTACAACTGGTCATGAAGATGCGCATCTACAAAACAAGAGTGGTCCAGCTTCGAGGCAGGTGCACCCTGTGTTCAGGATAAGCTTTGTTTTTGTTTTGGGAAGGTGGGAACAGAAAGGGGCGTTTGGGAACTGCCTTTTTGATGCTGACTGTCGAAATTGGTGCAGTTTTACGGGAGCACCGTGCCCTGCGAGCACATCCACAAACTGTCCCGGGGACCTGAGTCAGTATAACGTGCTGCAGTGGAGATGGGATGGAGAGATGACAGCAGGGCAGACCCTCTCTACATTCTTAACGGCTCCCCAGCGGCTCACTTGTTGCTCAGAAAGTTTTAACACGAGTTCTCGATGGGCAGCTTGTAACCACCCCCCCGGTAAATTCAGCAGCATCTCCGCATTGAACCGGGACCGTTACAGGCAGCTGGTCTTGGCTCAGATTCCCTTAAAACAAAGCTGTCCCTCGTCGGCACCCACCGATGCCCGGGGAGGGGGGGATGAATGATCAGGAGTTCCTGACGCCCCCCGCAGTCACGCCCCCGAGCGGAGAGGGAGCCTGCTCCTGCTGTCCCCCTCCCCCTCTCTTACCGGCTGTCCGTTGTCTGAACTCGGGCTCCCCGCGCGCTCCCTCGAGCTCTTCCCGCTCTCGCTCTGGTCTTCACCGACCTCCTGTCAGAGCGCGAGCTCCGCCTCCAACCTTTTCTGTGACATCACGCGCACGGCGGAGCGGAGTAAGGGCGGGAGCGCGGTGGCTTCACGTGCTAGCTTTAGGGAGCGGGGAGTCTGAATAGAGTGGAGGTTGAGGTTG